ATATAAGACTGCTGTGTTTATGTATAAAGCCAGGAACAATTTATTACCTGGTGGAATTCAAAAACTATTTAATGAAAGGGAAGGGGGATACAATTTAAGGGGTCAGTTAAATTTAAAAGTTCATGTTATACGTACAACCAAAAAAAGATTTTGTATTTCCATAAGTGGGGTAAAACTATGGAATAATTTAAGTGTGGACATAAAAAATAGTAATAGAATTGACGAGTTTAAACATAAATATAAAGGTATGTGTCAATCAAGATATATGCAAGAACAGGCTTAAGTTTCCCAAAACTAAATATATTGACTCCAAGTTGTTTAACATAACGCTTGGGGCAACTCCTCACATTTTACCCTCATGTGCGTGTCCATGCCTAATGTTAGCCAGCAAGCTAGCTAATAACAAGAACTACTTTTTCTGTGTTCCACTTCTTCTCAAACCCACGTCAGAATAAATAATTATGCATGAGAACAAAATACTTCACAGTTGACATTTTTACAGCCCGTTTCTTTATTTTATATTATAAATAAGTAGAAATGATTTGGCAGGCAAACAATGATGAAACAAATCATAACTTCATTGAGCAAGAAGCTTATTTAGCAACTCTTCCATTAACACACTTTTCAGAGAAGCCATATCTGAAATTTCTTCTGCACCATCTAGCCTCAATTGGTTTATTATTAGGCACATGCAAGCTTTGAGTTCAACCAATGTCACAGGCCAGACCCGGGCAAAAAAAAAAAAAAAAAACTGGGGGGAAAAAAGAGTGAGCAGGTTGAACTGATGGCCTGTCTGTGGTTTATTCAACAGTAATTTGACATTTGCTGGTTTTGTTGAGCTAAAGTTGAAAAACTACAGAAACTAAGATGATTAAAGTGAAATGTACATGTGGCTAGTTTATATTTAATCTTTGGTGTCCTGCTTTGGATTTCAAACTTACATAGATCTTCTGATATTCCACCACATGGCATGGTCTCACATTAATATGCATTAAAATGTCATTAACTGACCAAAGATCTGAGAATTGTGAGTGGGTGCATCTGATAACATAAGAACAATGTGCAAGCTCAGTTCAAAATTTCCAAGAATCTGTATAAAGTATTTGAATGCGATGTAATCAATGCTGACACACAAGTGGATAAGCTATAAATAAGGACTGCGTCCTCATCTTCCGTCACATTCTTCTGCTCCAGTCTTTAGCAACATCCAGTTTCTTCTTACAAGAAATCAAAAATGATGAGTGAAGTTATAAATAAGAGAAAATGGGAACAAAACATGTGTAGCGTATAAAAAGTGTGCACTGACCTTTTGTCTTTCGCCTGCTCTTAAATGAGGGCGAGGTTCCTGAGCAGACTATGAGATATGGCTACGCTCCATACTGTGATAAAAGCAGTGTAGTGTCTTACAAATACCTGTACAGGGGGAGTGCAGACATGGCAAAGCAGTGGATGAGCACAAAGGGGCTTATTAGGACTGTAGAGTGTTAAATACACTGTAGTACATTCAAAAGGGCTACTGATATGGCTGCAGGCAATATTCAGTCTACACACTGATGTCTCTTCATTTGTTGCTTGACGCAAACCTCGCAGCACTGGAAAAGGCTTTGAGTTCCAAAGTGAATCTGGGTGTTTTTGTAAACTGTTTTCCTTCATTCACTGTGTAAAACATGAGGTGTTAACTGAGAACCACCAGGAAACTGAGGTTCCTGGTGGTTGTGAACACTCCACTGATGAGTGAGAGACAGCACAGGCATCTGTCACTCGCAGTCCTCCCCTGCAGTGGCGGCCTCCAGAGCAGCAAGAGCCTCCGCTACCATTGAGTCTGTGATGCTGTCCACCTCCACATCCTCGTCCTCACTCTTGGTCACTGAGATCCCGCTCTCAGCAGTGGAAACTTCCAGATTCCTTGGGAGCCTACGCTCATCCCTGGTGTCTGCTGAGGATAGGCTGGTGGTGCTGGTGTGGATGTCCACTGAGAGGACACTCCCCTCATCCCCCGTGTCACAGGGGTACTCAGGCGTCCCTCCCACGCCCTCATCTATCTCGTCTGCTGATAGGCTTTCACTCCTAGTGATGGCGCTGTCCCACCTGTCTCCTGTCACATGGTGTCCCTGCTCGTGGTAGCTCATCTGGTTTTCATACTCCTGTATGTCTGGGTAAACCGGGACCTGGCTCGGGGTTTTCTCCTGAATCAGCCATCTTGGTCCCAGACCCTCTGGCTGGATGATGTACAGACCCCCCTCTGCAGGTGGAGTGCTGCTCTGCTGGTACAGCTCCTTCGCAGGTGCATGCAGCCTGTAGTTGACCTGGTTGTTGTCCAACTCTAGTCTCAGTGTGCTGTCATTGGACTTGCTGTAGCCCATATTGTGGAAGCCCTGCTTCTGCTTGTTGTGGTCGCTGAGTGCGCTGCTGCTGGGGGCCCCGCCTGAGTGATGACGGGGCTGGTAGAGGGAGCTAGAATCAGTTTTCCTCCCATTCACTGCCACAGAGGGGTCATAAAGGTAGCTGTGAGAGACAGACAGACAGTGTCACTTCTAGAGCTACAACCATTTGTCAGCTACAGCACAGTCTCATGTAGAAGCTGGCATTCAAATAAAGGGCAAGTAGTGACCAGCACAAACAAATAAAGGCCGGTCGCTAATGGAACAACAAACAGGGGTGGAGTTACCTGGTGCCTACTACAGCAGCTCACAAATGTAGTACAATGTACACAATTGGACTGGTACAACAATAGAATCATGCTAGACTCGCCACACTGCTACTCTTTGTTTCTCATATTCTAATTAAGTCTATTTCTTTTTTTACCTTAAGGATCACTGTAAAGTCAACAAAACACAACACAGTAAAAACCTACTTACAAAGGGAAGGCTACATTATAAGAAAATGAAAAAGGCCAAATTAAAACGATTCCTCTGAGGTAACTAAAGGGCGCTATTTGAGAATTTCTATCAATTAGTGAGATTGTCAAACCTTTTGCTAGCACCACCATGATACTGACATTTTTGTTTGTTAGTGACATTTCTCTATTTGATGGATTGTTGTGAAATTTTGTATAAACATTCATGTTTCCCTCAGGATGAATAGTGATAACTTATCATCCACTATTATTTAGCACCATCAAAACTGAGTTTGTCCAATACTATAGTTTAGCTTATGTCTAAATACCTATAAAAAAGAATGACGGTCCTGTTTGCATAAAACCGGTCAAACTACAATTCATGTTTTGTGCTAATTAGCAAATATTGGCATTCTAACTTGCTAAACCTGCTTGGTAAACATGGTAAAGAATGTACCGGCTAAACATCAGCAGGGTCGTTCAGGACATGTCTGCAGGCAGATGTTAGCATTTGGCCTCTCAGAGCTGCTAGGATGGCTGTAGGCACTTTGGGCTCTGGGAGCTTGTGATGGACAGTTTTCATTATTTTCTGATATTTTAGGGACCAAATGACATGAAAACAAACAGTAGTTGCAGTCTGGGTCATTTCACAAAACATTTTCTACACTGTTTCTCTCAAAAATGTCCAAAAATGTAAGAGTTGCACTTAACCCGACTTTCCCATTTGATTTCCTGGGGACAGCCGGAGAGAGCTATTTGTGTCTGTCCGAGTGGGCTCCAGGAGTCAGACGTGACAATCGATGAGAACACACTCGTATCAAACACTGACAACAACAAGGATAGTTCACTGTGCAGTCGATGCACCTCTCCAAAAGCCACTGTTACCTCTTAGGCCAACGTGCACTTGATGTTTACACAGACTACATGTGGCATTAGCTGTGGCAATGTTTGCACTGCTCATGTGACTGTCAGACATATTATGCAGAGTGTTGGAAGGAGAGGGAGGTGTTCACAGGTCTGTGATTTCACTCTTCTCTGGTTCAAACTGTAAAATACAGACTTTTATTCTCAAGTGTTTTCTCTGTAACTTCCAGAAAAGAAAAGGTTAACGTGAAAAGGTTAAAACGGAAGCTACAACTTTTCACTGATTTGATGTGCTGATGCATGATGAGTATCACCAAATATTTCTCTAACCCCCCCCCTCCCCATCTCTGCTACAAAATGACTTTTTTTGACTAAATTACAGATGGATTTGCTGATGTTGTTCCAATTTCTCATAGGCTGCTAGAGGTTGATAAAAATCCAGGACTTATTAATGCTCACTAAAGCTTTACGCCATAAATAGCCCCTTGTAGTGTGTAATGACCGTCTGATACCACCATTCTGAAGGACTGCAAGAGTGTTTGCTCTCTCACACACACACCTCAACAGGTATTAGGAGTGTTGGCAGGAGGGCTGTGTTTTGTGAACAGACTGTCAGACATCACCTGCTGTGAGAGCCTCATGTTTTTCCCACACCCATCTTTTCTGCCTTTCATTTGTTTTCTCCTCCACCCAGACCCCCAGCAGAGCCCCCCCCCCCATTCCCACTCCTCTCCCCCTCCAAAACAACGTCCTTGCCTCTCCTTCAGTGCTGCTGTAATGTAACTGCACTCTCTAAGCTACAGTCCCTTTGTACTTGACTTCTCCTTGATGTGAGCGCCTTCCCTCAAGCTTCTGTCTCGCTCCCTTCCGCCTCCTCCTCCTCCTTTCTCAAGTTGTCCTCCTCACTTCTGTTTTCCACTCTTTTTTTATCTCACCCCCTCTTTGGCTTTTCTTCACACTGTTCACTATTCATGCACAAGTTCAGAGAATTAAGAAAACTTCTGGATATTTTGACTGAATCAGTAACAGGCTTCATTCTCCCCTCCTGGAACACAGACACATACACAGAAAATCACCCGCTCATGCATTTATATTCACAAGCTAGCACACACACCCTCTGACATAGTCTCTCACCTTGCATCCTTCCATCCCTTCACAGGAGAAAACTGAGAAAATGAATGTTTTCCATTTCTCTTTCTCCTGGCCAGTGCTGCTGCCAAGGTGAAACCTGAGACTCACTTTTATAAAAGCCAGACACACACAAGGTGTGTTACCATGAAAAAAGGCCAATAAGTCATAAACCTGGACAAAAGCTGTGTGAGAAAATGAAACTGTACTTTCATCACTGACAGGAGGTCGCCACCTGTTCTGTTTCTTCGATGAGCAGCCCCAAGCAACTTGTTTCTCTGAGTCTGTTTTTCGTTTCTCAGTGAAGTATCTTCAAAAGACTAATTTCATATCTCTGTAAGGAGGAGTATGGTTTGTTTGTGTGTATCTGATTACCTGAGCCAAGCATTAAAAGTCAAACAGGAGGAGAGAAGAAGCATCGGCCTCAAGCTTGGATTTTAATGACAAAGGAGTACTTTTGCATATAGGTCTGATCCTGAGGAGTTCTGCTTTCCCCTCTCTGTTGAGATTTTTTTTTTTAGGAAGAAGCTGCTCTTTGCATGTTTTAACTTTGACAGTGCACTGGACAAGATGCTGTTTTACTGGGGGCATCAGAAAACATTCCCACAGAGACAATAAAATGATTTTCAAGCTAATGCATTGATTTGCCACACCTGCACCATGTGACAATACCAGCTCACGTCTTGTGCTACAAAGGTTTTAAATTGTTAAATGTGTTCTCAACTATAATGCAGGGTGCAGTGGTGTCTATAGATTTTGTCACCAACACTATTAGGCTTGTGATGAAGATTTTAATGCTGTTTTTTTTAAGTGGATGTTATTTCCACCCCGGAGAAGCAAAAAGTATAAATCTGCAAATTTGGTTTGGTTTAAAGTGTACTGTAAAAATTATATTTGAACAAAAAAAACTTAAGCTTCCCCTATTTGTCTGAGCAAGTTTTTGAAGTACAGCCATCTACCTTGTAAAATGAGATTTGTGTAGGTTGATATTCTAGAACAAGTCACACCCACAGTTTTGTGCAGGTTTGTTGAAACGTTGATACTGAGGCCATACTGCTGACCCAGTAACCTATAGGTCTACCCTGCCAAACACCAAACACCACTAAGCCCAAAAACATGACACGCCAGACACAAGCACTCACATTTGCATCTTTGACATGGGAAATGAGGATTACGACTCCAGTATGTGAATTACAGCCTCATTAATCTGCAAACTTGTTTCCCTGTCTCCTTGCTCACCTCATGATGCAAAGTTGAGCTCTGACAACAATGCCTTGTAGGCCTTTAATGAATAGACAGCCCTGCAGAGAAATACAGTAACCAAGGGCGATGGCTATTGGCATATCGACTCAGTTTGTGCAAAAAGCCCACATGAGGCTGAGTGTGCAGACATATTATAAATGGACCTCTCACTACCTTCATGAAACAAGACAAGAAATCATTATGTGGTGAAGGAGACATTTGAATTGGCACTATGGATGTGCAGATCAGGAAATCTGATGTGAGAGGCTGTTACTGACGAGGTGGACTGTGCAGTGGTTTAAGGTTACTGAAAAGGCAAACAAATGGGATATTTCTAAGGTTAATACAAGAATACTGCGAGAGGTTCTGATGTTGCTTCTAAAGCTAACGTAACATTAGCGACTGAGCATGATCATGATTTTACCTTTGTATTGAATTATTATGATTTTAATCAGGGTCATTTTTAAATTTAGTTTTAACTGAATAAATCAAGCTCTGTGTAACAATAGTGCTATGTGCCACATTAGCCGTAACCAGAGCGTCTACCGGACTGACAAATGTACTCATTAGTCAGCTAATGCTAGTTTCAGGCTGGAGGCTGCATTTTGTAGTTATTAGCAACCACTGACTATATATAAAAGATGGACAAACCCTCTGTGATGTCAGCCATTGGTTTTCTGACGGGTGGTTTTCAAGCTTAAGTCTGGTCATTCACATCTTGGTAGTGTTTCAACTACGCTTGCTAATCCAATAATGGGCAAAGTGGTAGAGCGGCCATGCCCTTAATTAATGCATAATTTTTAGTCTCAATATAATTTTTACTGCCAAGTTGACAAACTGCCAGCCCCAAGTGGCCATTTGAGGAACTGCAGATTTGGGCACTTCCGCACTCATCGGTAGTTCACATCATCACTAGCAAACTGGATGTGATGGGAGGGGCAAACAGTGGTTAGGAGCAGCTGATGGTGTCAGTTTGTTTGGAGTCTCACTAGACCCTCTAAGCTGGAAAGGCAATAAGTAGAGTAGGTTTAAATCCCTAAAAACAAGTGACTAACAAAGTGGGCTGAAAATGATTACAAGGAAGACTGAGACAGTTCTCACCTTTTTACCATCCTGCAGCATTGACACCCCATTTGGCCAGCTGTGTTGCGGAGCTGTGGAGGGACAATGACAAGCAATTAAACTTTAATCACACAAACACCCTGAAATGCAGGCAACCTCTAAAAATCTTTTAAAAACATGCACATATTGTTTTCAGTGGGTGACATTCTGCCACCAACGTCAGCAGTCAGTCGTCAATCAGAAATTACAGTCGGCTCCACAGGAACCAATCTGCACAATAACACAGGCTTTGACAGTTCGAGACTGCTATTGATCAGACAGTGCACCACCTCCAGCATGTGAGTGGGTTTTAAATGAGGGCTTTTTCGAGGTCCTGAAGATTTCACCTCATCATTCAGGTTTTTACTTTGCCCTTGGTCTTGGCGGTGTTAGGACACAAGCGTGAAAACTCTGTCTCCCTGAAGCGCCGACAGAGATGTTATTGCCATCCATCACTGTTGTGTGTGTATCGATGAGTGTGTATCCATGTGCAGGATTAGAATGACCTTTTCTCTCCTGGTGGTTTGTTTCTCTGGGCTTTGGCATTTCATTGCCTGAGTAAATAATTAATCACAGAGTCTTGAATGGGTTTGTCTGAAAGCGAAGGAGAAAGAGAGTGACAGAGGTCAAGGACAGTTTTCTTTGTGGGATAAAAGGCTGTGTGTATGTGCCCATGAGACAAAACTGTTTCTAGTCTAAACCTTAACTTTCTGACCCTGAACGCCTTTACTTTACCTTTAGCTGAATCTTTGAGCAAAACCTAATAAGAATCAGCTCAAAGTCCAAAGTGTGGAAGGAAGTTCTATCTGGGTGACGCACTGTCAACAGACGGTTAATTATAGTCCTGATTGAGAGCGTAATGTCTTATCGGTGACAAGCAAATTGCACACCATATCATGACACTGTAATAGATTCAATGTCACCCCTGTTACAAATGCGCCTTCAAATAGCATCTAGACGTCTGGTGTTATTCCGCTCAGTATATTTAACCATACCAGTGGTTTAGTCAACAGGATAGCCTTTGTCTTGTAGTCGTGACTATGAACCGGACATGTATTCTAGGATTTGGTTGGTCTGCTAACTGGAAGGTTGGTGGGTCGATTCCTGGCTTCTTCGGTTCACATGTTGAAGTGTCCTTGAGCAAGACACTGTTGTCCCGGTGATGTCACTGCGTGTGTGACTGGGTAAATGGCCAAATAGCGTGAAAGCGCTTTGAGTGTGCTGCGATGCATAGACAAAAAATTATACATCGTAGCTCCTGCAGTCACTTAATTTGTTTGTATTTAGCAGTCCAGTAAATTGTCAGTAAAGGCAACAGTGATGCAAGTGCTTTAGTAATACTCAGGGATTTCACTCATCTTTGTGCAAAGTCCCTGAAGGAACAAACCAGGAGCTCCAGGGCACATGTAGGCCCAATGCTTGTGATGCACTGCTCATGTTGGTGCTAAATAAAACAGCAGGCAGATCTGAGAAGGCCTGATGAGTTATATAATTTACAAGATGCCTTTTACCCTGGCTATCAATCTGATCCTGTGAACAGGGCTGTCATGGCTGGGTCGCACTGTTTTCCTGAAAGGCTGTATTTGTGCAACAGCAACAAAGCGTGACTTAGTTATCCCAAGACATCTAATTATCCCCCCTACAGCTCTTCTCAGAGTGTCATCCTCTTGTCTCTGAGTGCCCTCTGCTCTTGTGACGTGAGGCGGACTTTGCTGTAACCTGGTTGAAACAATTTCTGCAACTGCACTTTCCCTGGGACCACCAACACTTTCGCAGCTACTTATGGAAAAGCTAGGTGTGTATATATGCCACGCCGAGTGCAATTCAGAGCAGCAAAGAGGCCAGCGGCTCAACAGAGGACCCTGTTTCACACACTGCCGCACTAGCAAGCACCCACCCAGCTGATGTGCCCCTTATCTTCCAGAAGGAGAACAAGAAAGGAGGTAATTTCCCAGCGGACATGAGGAGCTATCACATTAATGGAGCGTTGTATTAGTTGGGGCAGGTCGCCCAAGTCACTATCAGCCCAATTTTACAATTACTAGTCACTTTTAAGTATGTGAATAATAATTTGACAAGCTCCAACCCTCAATCCTCTGATCACTTATGCTGTTGCTGAATATGCTGATTTCTCCTTCCAGCACCAGCAGCAGCTCCTTCCTCCTTCTGTTTTCATGTTGTGCTGAAACATTTCTTGCCTTGTGCATTATGTATATTCTTCGTCCCAGTGATATGTGTCTGCTGCTCTCTGCTCTCTGCACCCTTGGGTGTGTTTTAATGTGCTTGCCTCAGAGTCCTGCAGGACAGAGCCTCCTCTGCCAAATACGATCGCGTATCTATTTGTTGCCACAAATGGTCCTAAATCCTTAGACATATCAGTCTTGGACTGGATTGTTATGAATTAATTATAAGTATAATTAAGTTTAGTTCCTTCCTGGCACTGTTTTCTCACTACAGATAAAAACACCGTGACAGTACATGGATTATTAAATGTTGCAACAGTGGCATAATTAAGTAATAACTTACTTCACGTTCAATGGCTTACTCCATATTTGAGGCAAAAGTTTAAATCTAATTTCATTACTGAACATTTCCACAGCATACACAGATAAAACCAGTCCAGGTGCTAGAGTGTAAATGTTAAAGTGGCCCTCATACAGTTGATTTTCATGTGGCTCTGCCAACTCTGTGAAGTATTTCAGTCTTTCAACAGTTTTGGTTTTAAGGTTTGTAAATGTACAGTTTTGTTTTCACGCTCATAGTTTATTTCCAGACCAAACAGACAGCAAGCAGTTTTCAGCCAAAAAGCTATAAATGCCCACTTACTTTACTTTCAGTGATAATATGTCACTGTTGTGTTTATAGCTTGTTCCTCAATCAGTTAATGCAGGTTTAGGCTCATATATCGAATCTTTAATAGAGGTAAACCTTATTCCCAGAATCCATAGTGATGTCATCAAACTGCTTGTTTTGTACAACCAACATTAAAAAAACCAAAGATATTAAATTTAAGACTAATAAAATCAATAAATTGAGGAGCTGGATCCTGTGAATTGTAGCGTACATTAAAAGGTCAAAAAGAAAAATTTAATCTGCAAAGATAAAATTTCTTCTATACTCTAAGAATGAGCATTATGCATTTTATCTATTACTACCTCATACAAGGTTTTTGGTATTTTCAGATCAGTACTCATCAATATCTGACAAATACAGTACAGTTTTTTACAGTGGTCTAAACACTGTAAAAAAAAAAGTCTTTCCCTCTTGTGTCAAATCATGGGAATTTAATATGTTGGATGCAAGTTTGTGTTCAATACTACAAGATGTGGAAATGAAGCACAACTAAACCCCTTTTAACACGGTAAGGAATGAAGCTAACCATCCTTTTCCCACTCAGAGGCCTGTGATATCTATCGACTATTTATTAAGCTGATTTTACATTGAGTGTTATCTTAACAGGCCATATTTACATACTCATGTGACAGGTTTACCTTCCTACAAAGCAAACATTAAGTATTCAGTATTCTATGTGACATACAGTATATGGTAAACAAATGTGAATGGTAGAGATAAATGGTTAAAATGAAACTCAAAGTGAGAGTATTATTTCGTTCCACTCTGTTACTGTTCCACGAGGTGCATTTTGTGGTGTGTTTAGGCTGATCTCTGACATCTGGTCAGGACACGTCAGACAGGTTGACTAATGGTTGGAGGATTAGGCTGGAAAAAGCTTATTTGCATCGGAATGGAGTTGAGTTGCAAATTTGCGAGGGAAAAACTGGCTCTGGGTTGACTGAGCACTGACCATGTGACTGCAGTGTTACCTGCCTTGGGCTAACTATTCTGCTGCTGGTCAGCCGAGACAACTCCCAGTCAGAGGGGGACTAGTCCTGCCAGGCACATGTGTCACAGTGCCGTCTCAGCCTGGGCAGCTGTCAGCGCTCCTCCAAGCAGAAAGGAGCCAATGACTAGTTACAACCCTGTACTCATAACTAAGCAACATTAGCATTAAAGGTCAAATACAACGCCCCAAAACTCTGCAACGGCAAACAAGACCTACAAGGCAGGCTGATGTATGTTCTGGCTCCAATGTGTCCAGCTGCAGCTGTCATTTTTGCCACACAGTGTTTGCAGAGTCAATAGCTACAGATACACACTGAGAGGTGGAAAACCAGGAAGCTGCTGCTTGTGCAGTGAACACCCATGACTTCCCATCACTGCTTTGCGTTTTAAGATTAAACTTTAGTAACCGAGGCCTGGACTGTGCTGGACCTGAAAGCCTGGTACATTTTTACTGAAGTACTGTACTTAAATACAATTCTGAGGTACTTTAACTAAAGCGATGTACAAGTTACTTTAGTAGCTTATGTCAATCTTATGCTTGTTGCTTCTTCTCCACTATATTACAAAGGAAAATAGTTTTTTTTATATTTATTTGATATTTGCAATTGCTCGTTACATTTTCAGATAAAAATTGTATCCAAAACACACAATGATGTCATAAAATATATGTATATACAGTGCTATTCAGTGACTGAGCCACAATGTCCCTGGTTTGTAGCTTAGATGTCATTAGATGTCACTCTCCCCCTCCTCGTTTCCCGTCAACAACTGTTGCTATTTAATGATGCCCTAAAATGCCCCCAAAAATATATAAATAGCTCTGCCTCAGACAGTTACAAATTTAAAATATGACTGTATTGGTATTTCAATAATGTAATGTAATCATCTAATAAAATAGAAGAAGTCTTTTCATAGGTACTTTTGTCACTTTGATACTTGCAGTACAATTTGCTGCTGTATTTTTACTCAAGCACATTTTAAAAATACTGCAGTTTTCTCAGAAGTGGAAATTAACCCATGTACTGTACCTGAGTTCAATTTTGAGGTATATGTACATGAGTAAAGTTCACCCTCAATCAACGCATGCCCCTGGGCAATGGCAGGGAATTTAGTGGAGTCAGTACAGTGTGTCGGCTTAGGCTACAAGGCAATGACTTACTTTGAAAACCAAGGTTGAAAGCAGTAGAATGTAACAGAAGCAGATCAGAGG